AAAATAAAACTACCACCGTTGTAATCTCTATCGAATTTGAGATCGAATGAGGGTCAGAACGAGTGAAAAAGTTTTTGGCTCCTCAGGCTTTCAACGATGAGCGAAGTAACGAAAATGCTCAGAAATGCTTGTTCCACAAATCATTCGATCTCAAATTCGATAGAGATTACAACGGTGGTAGTTTTATTTTTCGGAAAAATCTTCTAGAGAAAACAAAGATGACCTATCAATTGCCCGTTTAGGATATAAAAGTGTCAAACTGTATCTCGGCTTAGAAGAGTTTGTTAAAAGAATTATTTACAGGAAATCATTGTGAAGGAGTCCAGAACACCTGAAAATACACACCTTTAAAAAATCTCATTTGGGCGTGGTTTTTAGGCATCACTCTGTGTTTTTGAACTATACTAGCTGTCTCACAGAAGTAGTCAGTTTTTTCCTCATTTTTCGATGCGGAATTCAATTCTATTAATTTCAGATATCACTTGGTCGAAGCGTTTACTGGTGAAAAAGACAATCTTTACTTTTCATTTTTGGCACATGTCATCCTGTCATTTTTCAATAGGAATAGGAAAAAGGGTTGAAACTTCCAGATTTTACTCAGTTTTACTCTACAACATCTGTAAATATCAGTCAAGTCTGAGATACCTCTCCAACCAACCGGCAAAACTTCGGTACTGTTAGCTTTTCTTGAGTCATTTGTCTCGTATGGGGATTGAGGGATTCGAATCTGTTTAATCTGTTTAATCTGTTGTCTGCTTAATCCTCCGTTGGTAGAAAGTTATTAAGAGAAATTTGAAGATCGACCATTTTGATTTCTACTTTAGTTCTGTAGTTCAGTTTGATCTAAAGTTTCTGTGGAGATCCTACGAAGTCTGCACAAAAACTGAAAAGGATGAGCTTTTATTCTGCCCGTGGGTTTACATACCGCTAACTCATATTGAGCTTGAAGAAGACTATATTTTAAATTGGTAAATGTTGGTCGTTGTTCTACGGACAATATAAAGCATTTGTCAATGATAGACCACATTCTAGCAGAGCAATTTGCTGGCTTTCTAAGTTTTTCTCCGCTAGTAATTCGTTGTCGCACCTCGTCATCAGACTCAATCTTTGACCATGGTATAGATCCCTTTGAATAAGCTTCCCACATTAATACACCCATTGAATATGCATCAGATTTTTCAGAATATAATTCATTCATTAATACTTCTGGCGCAGCGTAACGTATTGGAACGATATTAATCGTTGTCCTGGCTACGGTATTCGTCGGAACATATAATTTACTGTGTCGACTAATTCCGAAATCAGTTAACTTAACAAGATTTTTACGTGGTTCATGTTCATCGAATCGAAAAACTAAGATGTTACGGCAAGCTAAATCTCCATGAACAATGTGATTATGTGCTAAAAAGACCATAGCATCGGCTGTTTGTATAAATATTTCTCGAAGAATGTTTTCACCTAGTATTACATGTTGTAAAACCTCATATAAATTTCCCTCTGGTGCATATTCTTGAAGCAACATTACTGAGTTTCCATCTTCATTACTGCCGCTGTCAACGATACCAAATGTACGTACAATGTGCGGATGACGAGTTAATTCTACATAAAATGATGCTTCTTTCTTAGCACGTGCTCCATCGATCTTTAATAAAACGATTCTCGGACGACTTTCACCTGCTTTTGCTTTCATCCATTCAGCTTCATAAATCGTTTTACCAAATGTCTGAAATAGTGAACGATGTGACTTTTTCTTTATATCGATATTTAGCTTAAATTGATAATTTTTCGAACGATTAGTCGCTTCAAATTCATCAACAAGCGTTTTTACTGTATAATTCGGACGTAATGATTCAATTGTTAAACGTTGTCGTGTTATTGGACTTGTACCGTTTTCACGAATCCAATTGATAATGGCTTCACGTTCATATGTGTGTCCATCTTCAGCTACGACCGGGTCACGAAATAGATCGAAGGTTATAGGACAAATAAGTGAGTCACTCATGGTATATACGACCGTAAAAGAAGTTAAAAGGAGCTTTTCTTTTAGCGTGTTGGAAAAAACTAATATTGTAATTTATTCTTTGTTATAAGCTTTTTCCTCTTTCTTTTTCGTTTGTTATGTCAACAAAGTGGCAAATGTGTACCTGAAGTCACATAATTTCATTTTTAGTTGTTTTATCGTATTAACTGATTGAAATTTGTCGTAAATAATGATTGAAAGTTCCCATATCAGTCTTCAATAAAACTCCTGTTGTCATAAAAATCCCGAATTTGTCTAAGCAAAGTAAAATGGAATGACTCTGTAATTTTTCGAATAATTTCCTTTATCAAAAGTAATTGCAAACCTAAATAGCTGATCACATACTTTATCGATCCTTCTAAATATCGTGGCAAGTTTTTTTTCATAACTAAAAGTATATGTACACAAAATAAAAATATTTATTTCAAACTCAGAACTGGCAGCATGATTTTCTGAAAGACATTCAAAAAACTAAGGTACTAAAAGGATTTCTTATTTTTCCTGATTAATAATTTTAAAAAGGAGTTCTACTAAAACTATTAATTTTTTCATCTAATGTGGTAGATTTAATACTTTTTTCAAATAGTAAATATTTGGCTGTTTTTTTGGAACAATTAGTTTTATTTCATGTAGAAATAATATCGCCAAAGTATATTATTCATTCAATACCTATTGGATAACTTAATGTATAATGGAATGACTCTGAAACTATGGGTGCTCAAGGAGAAGAACGCAAAGAAAAAATAAGTTTCTGCTAGAAAATTGTCAAAATCTGTGGGTGCCTTGGCACCCACAGCCTCCATGGTTCCGCCGTCTCTGACTGTGAGTTTTAATGAATGTGAAAATGAAAATCTAATTATGGTTAAATCCCTTTTGTTTCTGCATGGTATACAGAAAATGACTTCTCATCACGTTCGGATTGGTCCAACTAACATCAGCCTTTTCTTCTTCCTTTGAATCGCGTACTAACTGACCGGACCCTGATCGAAATCAGTAATATTCTTAGATTGCACGAAAATTTTAATTTCTAACTATATTCAAACAAAACTCAAAATCCAGTTTTAGATTCAAGTTCTGTCGAAAGATCTTCATTGATAAACGAAATGTTCCAGTACTTCTATAACTGTAATTTGGTATGTAGCCTGTAAACTTGTTCTGTGATATAAACAAAAATTCTCTACAATTGGATGAAAATTTCGGATTTAATCATGGATCAAATGGGATTTCATCTAATATTTCCATGTTTTTTGGTGCTTCTACAAGTGCCAAGATATTTACAAAAACACTTTTCTGATTTATATCTTTTTAGCTTGACAATGAAGATAAAACGTCGAATAAATAGTTTCTTTAAAAGTGATCCTTCGGTGGCACAGGTAGCAATGGTAATGTTAAATAAAGATTATGTTATTGTTTGTCACTGAAGAAATATTTCAGTTTCTACTGGATAGATTACCCAACATTTTTCTTTCTCATGCTCTACTGTTAGACGAAAATTACATCATTTCTAGTTTTTGTGACCTCATACAACAAAGATGTGAGATACCTGACCCGGAAAGGGATATAGTTGGAATTAGTGGCGCGGATGAAGGTATGGTGCATGACCGTTATATCTTTTGATCTCTAGTTAGTTGAATAATCAAAGTATGAAAATGCATTTAAATATTTAAATATAATATATTTAACCTTTTTAAAAGGTATTTAAAAACAAGCAGAAAATCAAATTAATGTTACGTTGAGCAGGAAATTATACACAAATTAAACATAGAGCATTCTCAAAAGCAACAACACTGGACGCATTTTTTCACGCTATTCACAAATCGGATATTTTAGTGCTTGAATAACTCTATCGTTTGAATTTATACGGTGCAGAGTTGGTACAGTGAACACAACCGACATGAAATTCAGAATAATGTTACCCCATAGCATGAGTATTGACGGGAAATGATATCGGTAGGTGAAATAACACGTGCTTTAGGTACAGACAGCAAAAAAATTGTGTGAGCTTTGAACCGAGTATAAGAACATCGAAAGATTTGAAATGCAACTTGAACAATTGCAGCAATGTACAATTAATATTCCTAATAATTTTACGATGTAAAAAATTGGAAAGGGTAATACTACTTATTTTTGAGATATATAAATTCTGATTTGATAAGTAGTTCTAACTTCCATCTACCGTATAACTGTAAATTATTGTAAAGTTAATAACTGTGCCCTAAAAGCCCTTTTCTCCATTAATAATTTCGTTTTAACATGTAAATTATCTATGGTCCATAGTTTTAGGTAAAAACAGACCCATAAATAGCAAAACGAATTAACAATACATAGTAATTTTTATTGGTCGTTGTGAGTTTGTTTTTATATATCTTAATCGGTTTGTTTACATGAACAAAAAAAGGAGCATTAAAACTGTTGAACCAACAAAAATTTGTGTTTGTAAATGATTATCTTTAACATCTAAGACGAAGAGAGCAACTAACAGAACAAAAATAACAGAAAACAGTCAAATGATGACTTGCGCAATGGCGCATACAAACACATTCAATGTTTTATTGTTTCTTCTACTGACACGAAAGGAAGAAAGAAAGAAAAACACACATACATCTGACTAATTAGATTTTTTTCTTTCGAGTTCTTTTTTCTTCACAAAAAAAATTCATCGGTGGTTTTTTATACAATTTCAAACAAATGGCAGATATGCAGAGGAGATTATAAATCGGATTTATTTACTTCTGAATAAATGTCGCATTAATAAAAAATTTTTCATCAATCCAGTTCCTCAAACAAAAGGCAGAAATCTGATTAGTCAGTCAGTCAAGCACACACAGCCAACACACATTTGTACTACCATTTTAACTCAATCCCTCAACTTAATGTGACAATCGAGTGACGTTTTCGTACTCAAAAAAAGCATTTTAACATATCAAAAACAAAATAGAGATACTTCCAATCGATTTCACAAAGTACGTGCTTGTATCAATTTTCAAAAGGGAAAAAAAGCAACAGAAATAAAAATGAACAAAAGAAATCAAATAAACAACCGTGTTTTGCTTTCCAGAAAATGAAGAAATTGTTTTTATGTTGATGTTTTACCGATTTTATGTTCAATAAATCATTATGATATTATCTTTTGTTTAATATGGCGAATAACCACTTGATGATCCTCCGCGTCCTCTTCCCCGGTAGCCTAAAAAGGGAAAAAAAAGCGCTAATTTTTACAAAAATGCAATTGAACGTCAGCAAATAGATGTTTCGATTTTCCGTAGGCAAAATTTTCCTTTTCCATTTCGGACTTTAACAGAAGATGGATCTTAACATCTCGTTACGTCAGCTCGAGTTTTAGATCAAATGAAGGAAGTCTTAAATGCTACTCTTGGAGTAAAAGCGACAGTTAGAACAAGCTTCATAACTAACAGATACTTACCACCGCCATCGCCTCCAAAGCTTCCTCCGCGTCCTCGAAAACCTGGAAAAGAGAAAAGGCATAGTATATACGAAAATCCTTCTCAGCAGCGACACTTACCACCACCATCACCACCGAATGATCCACCACCACCACGACTATATCCACCTCCTCCACCACCGCGTCCTTTGGAAGAAAAAATACATCATATAGAAGATTACAGGCTATTCAATTAAGATTCACAGGCAGTACGGTTACACGGTACTGTTCATCACAATTCGTTTTGATCATGATCAAGGGTCCTGGTCCTATGTAAAAGGACACCGCTGCTTTTTAAAATTTCAAATGAATAGCTTTCTATTATAAGGTAAGATAGATGTTTATGAGGTGCGTCTGACTATATGCTTCTTAGGACTTGGCGGTTTATGGTTCTTGTGAAAACTAAAAGGTTTGGACACTGGATACC